ATACGTAAATCTTGCGAAGCGGTCATAAATTCTAACAGTCAGTCGCCTAATAGCGCGATCGCATTTGCATTGAAGAGTTATGAGCGTCAAGCCGAGTACAAATTGGTTATTTGGCTGGTGGTGTTTTTCGCTACTTTTACTGGTGTTTTTGTTGTTGTTGTTGTTATGGCATCTGCAGTTTGCAGGAAACGACAAGAGATCAGCAAATGGCAAATGTTGGCAAAATGTTGCTATTTCGTTGGCGTTTTTTTGTGAAGTTCAATTGCTATGCAAATATGTTGTTGTATGCATTTGCATAGATGGGGTCCCTTTTTTGCAAATTAGCAGGAAACGTAAAATAACCATATAGGGGAGCGCATTCGTAGGAAAAGATGTCAATAAGAAGTTAATTACGACATATTGACTATGTGAACATAGCAGAAGAAGCAGATTAGAAGTTAGATTTATGTGAAAAAGGGAAGCTGTATGAAACAAATGCGGAAACGTTTGCTTGCATTTTGTGATGGCAAAATCGTACCAGCACTTACGAACACATCACAGTCATCTAGCTACAAGATAAGGGAGTAGTTTTTTTTAACAAAATGCCAGTAATTTGCTCTATCGTCCATCAGTTCGGCATGCTTTCTGTAGCTCTATAGGAGGAAACGACTTTGAGTTCTGGGGAGAGGAAAAAATATTTGTTTTCAACGCGTACAATTTAACCATTAGCTACCTCCTAAAATTTATTACCGCCACAACCATCTATCATATGTATGTATGTATGTCTGTGAGACCTGAGAATAAAGTAATTCACGATTCTAAAAATTAGATATAAAAGGTTTTATTTTTACTCGTAAAATTTTTAGTTACATTTTGTGTTTCTTTTTTAAGTGATATGTGATTAATCTATTAAAGTATTGACCGTACTTGGCCGGGTTTCGACTATCAAAAACGTGTAAAATGAAAAGTTTTGAGTTTATGTGTAAATTTCGTGCTGCGATTGTTTGCGCGTTTTTGAAGAAAATGGTATTTTTTAGGTATTCTTTATAATTTCAGTAGTGAATTATTTACTACTTGGAGAGGAGAACTCATTTAAGAGAGCAAAAAAGGCGGTTTACAATTTTGTTGTTGCAAAGGCTGCTCGTTTTAAATTTTCAGCAGAAAAATTAGGAAATTTGGAGCTTTCAGGTTTTCAATTGAAATTATTATAATTTTACAATATTTTTTAAAATTAGCTACCGTATGAATCGTTTTTGTAACTAAGTTGAATTTTTTTCTTTAGTATAAATATTTGGTGAAAAAACTGCATTTCAACTTTTTCAATAGAACCACAAATAAAAGGTTACCCTTTTTGACCCATCGCTTGTCAAGGGTTAAGGGTTTTTTGCAAAAATGGGGGAAATCGTATGTCAATAAAAAAAAAATATTTTTTTAATAATCTAAATGTTTAGTCATAATTAGTTTTGGCCACAAAAATGGGTCGAATTACCCATAGTGCATTGGTATACATGCATACAAACATGATACATATGTATGTAGCTAAGCAGAAAGTCGACAACTAGGACGGCATACCAGTATGTACATGGCCACATATTTAGTTATGAGCAGTCCTTCATAGTATGTGCTATAATTCTAGCGTAGTAGTTTGCTTGATGGGAGAGTCAGGGTGTGCCTTGAATTATATAGCCTTAACTATGTCAGAAAATGTGATGAGTTAGTCGTTGAATAATTTTCGTATTCTAATTACCTTCAACCTAAATGCAAAGTGGGTGTGGTGTAAGAAGGCTCGGCGTGTGCTTGTATGGGGCATAGCAGCCAAAGGTCACGAGGAAGTGAATTATTATAATGATACCTTTTGCTATTTGCCAACAGCGAATGTCCTTTTGACAATAGTTGCGTAGAATATGACTATGTTTAGTGCATGCAATCGTTGGAATAACAATAATACTGCGTAGCAAAGAAAATATGTAATAAAAACTTAAAACGACAGATAAAAAATATAGTGCCTGACATATTGATAAGGTCACCTGACTAATTTAAATACTTTCTTTATAAAATTATAACTAGCTACATCAAAATTTAGCACTTTTTATACAGAATTTTTGGAAATTTTTTGATTATATTGTCCCTTCAATTTTAAATAGTTTAATGCAGTGTAAGCTAGAAATGGCAACAAATTATCTTTAATTTTTGGAAATTATTTTTTGGTTGCGCATTTTCTTAGATATAAAATAAAATGCCAACACTCTAGCTCAGTAAAATTAGAATTTTTCTAAAAAAAAATTGCAGTAGCGAATTTTTGATGCAGTTTACTTCTATTCGACACGTAGATCATGGATCCACGGTCTTGCAGATTCCAGATGGCAACATTCCGCCATCTTCAATTTTAGGTTTTTTGGTTTTTTTTGCGATTTGCAAGCTTAGTTTGCATTTTGCGTAAAAAATGGTTCAATCAAATTTGTAGAGAATTTAATTTCCGACATGCTTTGTATAGAGGGATGAAAAAAAAACATTTTTTAAATAATTAGCAAAAACTGTCACGGCTTTCGCCCTTTTTGAAAAATTTTTACGAACATTTTGTTTTTGTAAGACGCTTAGATCACGACCGGGAACGTGCCAAACATAGCGATGTAAAGAAAGCGGCGTAAAACTCCATTCCACATCACGTCAACTAGTACAGTACGATGGCCAAAATTCTATAGGACGGATTACAAAGATTAGGGTCTTAAAATTATCACATAGACGTCTCCTATTGAAAACAGTGTGACCTTTCTTTTGTTTTGAGGTTGCCGATTACGAACATAGAGCATGATTTTAAAAATTCATAATGGCGAATCCAATATGGCGGCCAAAAAACTAAAATCGATTCGGTCCGTTTGAAACGTTTTCCTCTGGGGCTCTTGGGGCCGCTTATTACAAATCTGAGGTCAGGTTGGAAAACTTAAAAATGGCGGACTCGATATGGCGAAAACTTTACAATCAAGGGTTCTTAAGATCTCTGTGGGAGCTTTCGCGGCATGTGATCTATTCTCAACTCCAACTTGATTTTAGTAGATTCATTTTTAATTTGAGAACCGGATATGATGGTAGAAAATGAGATAAATACAACTTGGATGTGTTTCATAAAGATACTCTTTTATCAGAATTACAACCCATTCGAAATGAAATCAAAACAGCAAAATACATCTTAGCTATCCGAGCACTAGAATTATATCACATATGTATGTACTTACATACCTACTTATCTCCACTTCATAAGTTAGTGACCTTCATGTTTTATTGCTATAGTTTTTAGTACATTAATAATGGTGCGAGTAGTTAGTTCATTAGAGCACATTAGCACCTCTAAACTGGCTTAATGGTGCTGCCCAACACTTTGGGTAGAACAAAACAAACCGTTTTTTTTTATTCACTGAGCTACCGAAGGCACCGAACCATTACAGCTTTTCCCCTTCCATTTATTTATTTTTTTTGTGGTGCAATCGGATGTTCTGAAACAAGTGTTGCACATATGTATGTATATATGTATGTATGTTGGCATGTGGAATGCCGTCATGCACGTAATCTGGAGTATGCACCATGAAAATATCCACCTAATGGTCAGAATTTTTCACACATTAGTGAGTTGTAAAGTCGCGCCTCATTGCAACGGATCGCCAAGCGTTGTTAGTAATTTGTACTGCAACTAAGCGATTATTCTGCTGTATGTAGTACTGCAAATAAAAATGTGGCAATCAGCATTAGTTTTAACGGCTGCCCATCAGCAGCAGCAGGCACCAGCAAAGCAACGCTGATACAAAGGCGTACATACATAAGTGAAGTAGTGAATTGAAATAAATGCAAGAAAAGAGAAGCTTCAGATGGAAGCAGTACAAACTTATTGTGTTTAAATATTGTATATACATACATTCGAACAAAAATGAAAGGAAAGGCAAGAATTTCCAATCGAGAAATCCGAAAGCATTTTGCCACGAACCTGGCACTATGCAGCAGTTGTGGCTGCAGGGCAGCAGTCAGTCAAGCTGGCGATAGGCAACGAAGAAACGTGTCAGCAATTCTCATTTCTCCTGCAATTAATTGATGTCTTCAATTAAAAATGCAATGCACGACGAAACGCTGCATCAGCAGAAGAGAAAAGTAGGTGACCCATCATCATTAAGCTTCATCAACAATCGACAAGCCGTGAGTGAGCTGCCAGCCATCTGTAGCATCGATGAAGCAAAGCTTTCAATGCGAATCTAGTGATTGTGGGGCAGCAGCGCCAGCAGCTGCATCATAAAAGTGGCTGTGGCATGCAACCGCAGCAGCAGCAGCAGCAGACATGATTTTCAAAATGCGTACACAACCATCTCAGCAGCGGCCAGTGGCAACATTACATCAATCGTGCGCCAGTCCACGCCAGCATGACGCTGCAAACATTCCATAAAACACAATGGACTGACTAGCTAATCAGCCAGCAATCGATGCATGGACGATGGACGTGCATGTATTTAGATATGTATGCACAAAGTGGCGATGAAATTTATGTTCGCTTTTGCGACCAGCTGTGCTACCAACTTAGGACAGACTCTCGGCCACTGGCACTTGCGCCACTTTTACTTAATGAGAATGCGAATACGAATGTGAATGGCATTGCCAGCGGCCCTGCCCAGCCACCAGCCACCAGCCACTAGCCACAGACCACCGGTTGTCCAATGAACGTCTTCTAAAGGATGTCTGTCTGCAACAAATATGCGCAGAATAACCAGCAATCTTCTTAGGCAAAAACCAGTCTATAACTTACTTTCGTCGTCGAATCGTAGTCGTAATTAACGCATCAACGCGTTGAGGAGAATGGCAGTTGATTTATTTTATTATTTATAAGCATTTTCTTCTTTACGCTGCTGGCACTGCATCTGCTTGCGAGTGCATTAGTACATAGATTTTCTTATCTCTTCGCTCCATTAACTACATTCCTGGTACTAATCGATCAATTTTCTTCTCTCTCTCTCTCTCTCTCTCTTTTGCACTCTTCATTGCAGATCGACGACGCAGCCATACAGGTGTACAAAGATGGTGACTATGGCGCCTATTTGGATTTGGAGTCCTCGCTTGCTGAACAAGCGGAAGAAATTGAAGGTCTTAATTCTAGGTGAGTTCGCTGGCGAGTAATTTAAATTTAATTTAAGTGGACAAAAGTGGCTTATGCAGAGCGAAGTATGCCAGTTGCGCACTTGAGCAACATTTGGTGAAACTTGAGCACCCAATGCGCATTGTTATGAATTATTTAATATTTTTATGTAAATATTATTGCAATTGCTTGTAAAAATTTCCTCACAAATGAGCATTCATGTTGGCATTCGAGTAGAAGGTGTTGTGTTATTTGAGCTTTGTAAGTTTCACACCTACAACTTTTCTTTGAGATTAAGTCATTTGTGGTTAACAACAATAAACAACAAAAAAAAACTCTGTCTGTAGAAGCAATGAATAAAGTGCTTTATTAGAATTGTTTAATTAAGAGCAGTCATTACTCACCCACACTTCACTCAAATGTCTGTATGAATTTATTTTTTATTTTTTTTGTTTTTGTTTTGTGAAAACAATGCCAAAACTAGTTGTTGTTGGCGTGATTACTCACAAACATGTGGTGTAGACACCTTTCAATTCGCCAAGTTAAATGCAAAGCGCAATGCGCGGTGTAACTTCAGGAGTATCTATGAAGTCATTTGCTAACGCAAATGCTGCAGATGCTCACCTTGCGTAAATTTCATTTATAACTTTTGCATCAAATCATAGCTAATTAAAAAAAAAAAGTGAAATATCTGTTATGTACTGAAATCTCCAAATACATACATATATATGTATACAGTTAAATACGAATATCTCTTCGAGTAAATGCTGCAATACTCACTTTGCTAAAGTTGCTTCGACATTCTTCTCTTTGAAAGGGAATTTGTCTTTTAAGTACGGCAAGCAGCCTTTAAATAGATTTCGGCTAAGATAGAACTAACCTTCAGCAAAACAACCCGAAACAACGCGAGTGATTTAAGTTCCCAAAGCCTAGCTAAGGTTCAACCGCGTCGTCCTCGGAACAACTACGACTGTAACAATCGAAGGAATTGTGAAGTTGTAGCGCATTGAGTTTCTATTGGATGAATCACGTAACTTTGAAATGATAGTCGTTCAAACGATACTGAAAAAGCGATGTCGTCAAAACACAGACTCAGGGATTTTTCTTGCTGTTACATGTTCCTCCTACTCTTACGCGAACCAATTTGAAATCGAGTTGACGATTTCGCACAAACGATCAAACAATTTTCGGTGTTCATGAAGCAAGATAATATCAACATGACGTCGTCCAGACAATTGACGCCGTACGTGATTCATGCCCTGTGTTGTCAGCACCGAGAGTTTGTGCTTGGTCACTAACTCCTGTGTGAGCCGACCAGAAGGAGCACACAAACTTGAGATGGCGTGCAATAATGTCAATGGCAAAAAATGTCTGGGACCTTGCAACGTCTACTACAGCTGCCATGTAAAGGGGTGTTTGTGGTGGGAAAGAGACTCTAGCCACAATCCGCATCAAAGCGAGATTCTTCAACATCTCACTAATCTGCGCCCATGCCCCGACGGAAGAGAAGGATGATGCGTCCAATGATCTTTTCTGTGAGCGCTTGGAGCGCACATACGAGCGACTTGAATGCCAGGGTGGTCAAGGAAAGGGATCTTTGGAACCACCGTCGGAAAATTCAGCCTCTACGACGAAACGTCCGATAACGGACTGAGGCGAATCGACTTCGCCGTGATGCGAAACATGGTAGTATGCAGTACTAGGTTTAAGCATAAAAAGATCCATCACTGCCTCCGGATCAAAAAACGAGAAATCAAATCGATCATGTTGTGACAGACGGAAGGTATGCTTCCAGTGTTTTAGACGTACGTACACTCCGAGGCCCAAACAATGACTCGGACTACTATATACGCACCCGCCTCTGTGCAGCAAAAAATGTGCGCCCAAAAATTCTAGTAAAGCTTAACGTCGAAAAGCTGCAATCACAACAGGCAGCCAATGCATTCGCTACTCGACGCTACTCTGAAAGTATTCAACTCGGAGCCCGCTGGTGGTAGCACAGGAAGAGGGAGGCCCCCACTGCATTGGAAAGGCCAAGTGGAGAAGGACTTGGCTTCACTTGGCTTTTCCACTTCGCGTCAGTTGGCTTTGTTGAACTCGGCCAAAATCGCCGGGGCGGTTACAGCGCCAAATATAGGGCTGCCAGACGTCCCGGTTTTCCCGGATATGTCCCGGTTTTAGACTATTTGTCCCGGTGTCCCGGTCCAACCTTAAAATGTCCCGGGTTTCGTTTTAGGGTCCCGGTTTTCGATTTGATTGCACAAATTTGAATAAAATTTCAAAAATCACTACACTAAGAGAAAAAACGCGTTGTAATATTCAGAAAAATGTTATGAATTCAATGAGGGAAATAACGCATAGCAAACATGAATATTTTCTATTTGATTATCGTTTAAAAATGTTCGTAATTAAAAATAATACTTTCATAACACGCACGCGTGGTGTTGATTCAAACTCAACATTTAAATGCACATTTACATGTCTGGCTGTAGCTGAGTGCGCGAAGATGCTTGCCACAATTTGCTAATTTCCAGAGGGTCAGGGTTCAATTCCCATTACAACCAGCATGGAATTTAAATATTTTTTTTGACTTAATATGAAAAAGCAATCGGTAATTGCAAATCGCTTCATTTTAATATGGGCGTATTTGAATTGAATATTTCTATACTAAATACATACTAAAATTTTGTATACTTAAATGAATTACGAGTTGGGTTGGTGCTCTTTCATATGCGTATTTTTTAATTTAGAATGCTTTTTTAATTCTAAACTTCTTTCTCTCAGTGCACCGGTTTAATTTGTGAAATAGTTACATTTCGAGATAGTTGAACTTTGCACAAGCAATAGTTGATGATTAGTATAATATACCTAAATACGTTCAAAATGACGTGCACAGAGTTTTACAATTATATTAAGGATAAATAATATAAAAAAAACTTTTTAATATACAACCCCCACGCTTTTCATTTTCAATCTCATAAATTGGTTATAACGACTTTTGCTAAAATTTCAAAATCAAAAGTTATCAAAACAAATTCTATGGGACTGAGAAATATTATTTTCTACTTTTTAGTCCATTTATAAAAGCGTTGTATATTAAAAAGTTTTTTTTATATTATTTATTTTCTACTTTTTAGTCCTGTCTGAATAAAATTTTGCAATAGATATTAAAATAATTCAACGATATTAATAGAAAGGTGCACACACATGCATTTACATATGTATGTACATACAAACGAGCACCAATTAATTTTATTTAAAGAAATGGCGTGTCGTCTATTTCCGCTGTAGCGAACGTAGTACATAGGGCGACATCTAGATGTCATCTACCTCGCCCTATTCACTACAGATGTCGCCCTATGCACTAGACTTTTTTATAGGAACTTTGCAAAGCAAAGGTTTTATGGTGTCGGACACAAACATTGCAAGTTGATAAAAGCGTTGTAAAAAGACAGAAGTTTTGAAACAAGTTCACAGCAACGAAAAATATGACTGATATTTTAATGTTATCTTGTATTAAATTTTTTTCTTTCATAAAACCTAGAGTACTTATAAGTACAGTGCCGTACAAAATTATTGTCTCGAAGGCTCTTTCATCAGATCACAATTTCTAATCAGATCTTTTAGACAAATTTTGCAATGTAGCTTTTGAGCCAATTAATAAAGTGCAAGTCTGAAGTTGCCAGCAAATTTCGTTGATTTTTAGCATTTATTTTTTTTGCAGACCGTGTCTTCCATATAAAAAGAATTATCGAACATAGTTTGTATGGAAGAAACTCTCAGTAAATACCAATACCAAAAATCAACTAAAATTTAATGGGCTGCAAAACTTCATTTTAAAAATTTTTATAAAAAGTCTGATTAGAATGTTGCAAATTTGTATGCAAAATTTATTGAACTTTCCCGAGTTTAGCACAAAGTTTAACAATTTTATTTTTATGTTTTTTGATATATTTAGTATAAACTGTATTTTTATAAAGAATAAAAAAAGGTTCATGCATTGTGAAAAATTCTTTGTGCTTTAGTTGTGATAAGTTGTTTTGTTTTGTTGGCGTACGTTGTAATGATCTCATGATCTCGTGTTTTAATGTTTTTGTTTTTGTCTGTCAAAATAAAATTTCACTGCATCCTTTCGCACGTCGAAATGAAAGGGAAGGGAGCGAGAGGCCCTCCCTAAAGTGTCCCGGTTTGGCAACAGAGATATCTGGCAGCCCTAGCCAAATAGGAAGAAGAAAATTATTTTGTGAGCTATTGTATGTACTCGTGCAAATAGTTTTTCCTGGAATCTGCATTTGACAGCTTGCTTGCAATGTTGCTCACACAAACTCAAATATACATACATACATATATGTATTGACAAACACGCAAACTCATGAATTCTAAGAATACGAAGGCCACTTCACATTTGAGTATCGAATGAATGGCGTTAGACAGTATGGCCACCATCACTGCCAGCACAGTCACTGCAACCGTCATCGTCACCGCAATCAATCAACAAATGCTTTTCGTAAATTAATACTACTCGCACATTCATAACTGTATGAATGCACGAACGATGATCAAAAGTAACTACAAACATATGTATGTAGAATAGAAGGAATTTAGATTGTGGGGTAGTAGCTTGTTTATCTACTGATAAGAATTTGTTTACCAAACTGCGCAAAAAGATCAAGTTAAGGAATATTGCGAATTTTCTCATTCTAATACTCGTGTATCTACAAACATACACACATAACGAGTAAGATTACATTTCGTATACCTAAAATGTGTAAATAAAAGTTATGGTTTGCGATGTGAAAGCTAAAAGGCATTAGATAGATAAGCAAGCGTAGAATGGAGAACGAATGGCTTGTGCAGCCGCAAATAGCAATGATTCAATGCACTTTGTGTACAGCTGAGTGAGTGGATGGATGACCATGCCCACTTTGCGACGAGTGCTAAACGCAATCAGCTTTGATTATTTTCATGATTAATGCAGCATTTTCTATGAAACAGCCAATGCGTCTGGCCGGTAAAGTTAGAAAGTGTGCAACAAAAATAGATTTATTGTTCATAGCCCGCAGGTATTTGGTGAATGTTTGCTGTTATGGCGCTGGCAATTTTTTTTTGGTTTTTTTGTTTTCATTTTTTTATTTTAGTTTCTTTGTTTTGATGAAAGTCAATACTCGTATTTATTGCATTGACTGTTGGTTTTTTGTTCTCGTTTTTCGTTTATGCATAAACTCTACGCTCTTCTGGCTTCACTGCCACCTCTTCTCTGGACGCATTTGCTTGCCTCGCCTGTTTCTGTTCGATTTTTATTTTGATTTTATGGTTTAAGGAACGGCGAAGAAATTTGCCAGAACTGTCGAAAGTTGGCGATAAAAGATCAACACACACATGCACATGCACGTTTCCATGTGCACGCCATCGCTGCAGCATGCCACTTAGCCAGTACGCCGCTTTGAATGGCTAAATTTCACTTTCCGTTCTCTTGGCTTTTGAAAGCAGACAAACTTTATGGACGGACGAACGGACGGACAACCGAAAAGAGTTACTTACCGCGACTGTCAGGCAAGACGGACACAGTGGCGAATACAATTTACCTTGAACCCATTATGCAGCTCTGGCTGTGGCTGCTCGCTGCTCGCTGCCAGTTGGACGGCCAAACATAAAAATGCGCACACATGCAGTGGGAAGTTGCAGTTGGGTGCTGAAACTCCGGTGGTAGGCTGAAGCAGGAAGCGTCCGTTTCGGGTTTTGCAACATTGCATATCAACAGCAACAACAACAGCAACAGCAGCTAGAGGAGTAGCTGTGCAGCTGTGCAGCTTTACAACAAAGCTTTCGTGGGCTGCTGAAGCGCAGACAGGGCACAGCGGTGGCGAGGTCCGTCCGAATGGCTGGCTACCTGTGTGTGTTCCCGCCACTCGATACCGTCGAGTGGGTCTCATGGCGTTGGTGGCTGCGGTTTCAAGTTGACAATTGACGATGAGCAGCCAGCGAGGCTGTTGCGTTGTTGGGTTTCACTGGGTTTCTGGGGCACATTAAATACTTCTCTTTTTTTCGAAACTTGTAGAGTTTTTACATAGATACATTCATGTGTGGGTGCTCTCTACGTTGAAGCGGCTAACTGCAGACGATGCTGATGCGGCCGCATGTTGCATGTGGACATTCGAAGTTCGCCATTTTCTTGGCCTTTCACTTGATTATTTATTGCGAACAAAAAAGTGCAGAAGGAGGCAGCGATGCTGGCAATAAGTGGCTGAGAAAAGCGATCGTTTTTTAATAACTGCCTCGAGTGACTGCAGAATAATAATTAGTTGATGAAAGTGTTTACGTTTGGAATATATTATCGATGGCACACTTTTCACTTCCTTTCGAGTTTTGCGAGAGTAACGGAAGATTTAGAGCTTGAGCGGCGGGAGTGCGCTTTGCGGTGAAATTATTTAGCCTAAATATTTAGTGTTTTCTAATGAAATGTTAAAATCCAAAAAATACAAAAGGTTAACAAAACCGCTAGTATGTACTTTAAAGTTCTTCTATTTTCCGCGTAACTAGTTATTGCTGTGTTAAATAATACCCAACATGACAACATTGCAAAAATGCAACTAATTTGTGCTAATTGCCGCTAAAAGCTAAAGGCGAAGTATGTCGAGTATTTTGAGAGAATTGAGTCTGAAATGAAATCGCAGAGATGCATAGTAACAAGTCGGTGGCATGCAAAGTGCTATGAGCTGGTACAGGTAAGGGCTTAAACAAACCAGCTTAGTGCCACATAACTACATTCATACCAAAGACTTGTCTGGTGATGATGGTGGACACCAGTTGGAGTGGAACGCGACTTGCGATTAGCCGCGTTGCACATTGTAGTTGGTGCAAACGCTGCTACGCCATTATTACATACCACAGGGACAACATTTATGTAGACGTTGCCGCCATGTAAATTGGAAGATGGCATGCATTCGGCACAACGAGATGAGCCACAAACAGGAACACGTAAGGAGCGTTTTGTACGAGTAGTGGATAGTTTTGCATTGAGTTGCATGCAACATTTAGTGCAAAAAATGCAACTCTGACGCTTTCAGAAACTCTTTAAAGGGAGAAATTCGTTTAGTTATTTTGGAAATGTGACAACATTTTTTTAATGTTGATTACAAAAAAGACACGTCACCGCCAAAAATACGTAAGCGACACTTTTTTTTTAATTTTAGTTTTGATGCATCTAGATTCTCAAGTAACATTTCTGCAACAAAAAAAGAAAAATTTTTAAAACATGTCGCTTACGTCCTTGTGGGGGTTAGGTCTCGATTATAAAGTCAATGTTGCTTTGAGATAACTTCTTTCATATAAACCCCATGTCTTGCTAATCAATAGATTTGATGCATAAATGGTTAGGATAGGTTAGGAAACCGTGTCTTCATGCTTCTAGTCGGTCTCTATGAAAGCCAAAAAAAGGCACATCCATCCAATCGAGGTTATTCCAAAGCCGAATAGTTTATGTAACAAACACTACTACTTTGACATAAGAATTGGTGAATCAATTTCTCTTCTTCTTTATGCTTAAAAGATGTAAGTTATAAACTGTGTAAAAAGGGATAAAGAGATAGAGAGAGAGGGAGAGAAATTGTTGCTAAAATAGCTCCAATATGCTGTGATGACGCCGGCAAGAATTATTTATGTTTAACTCCAAAAGGTGTTCAGTTCCTTATTTGCTAAGCTTCGGCCATCTAAACCAGTACCCGACATACCAACACATTCAAACGATTCAATAAGTGAGACTGTGTGCGTTAAATTCACTGCTCAGCTGGCGCTCTTCGTATGCGTGTTAAATACACATGTGCTCAGAGACCGCTCACTGATCTATGACCTGTCGACCACTGATCTAAACCTTAAGATTTCATAGTCATCGCAGTTAGCTGATTTGTTTCTCCAAATCGACTAGTTCCTTTCTCTCCAATATTACATGGTCCAAGATACTAACAGATAGAAATTTTGACCTGATTTAGTGATCCTAACAATGAGCTACATTTCCGGAAAATTCTTGACTTCACTAGTTTGGAGCTTAACGTCAACGAATAGAGTGCGCTTCCCTAGTAGAGACTAACTAGGCCGTATTAGATCGGATGGCAAAGATCTTCTCTTGAAATACACGGTAGGCTTCAGGCAGTAGATAGAATGGCCTGATCTGCAGATCTCTTACCTCTTTTGAGCCGTCAGAGTTTACGGTAAAATTTTCCTTTGGTATCCATCGTTACCACAGAATGGGGTAATTGGACCCATTGTATCCCCTCCATTAAGTTCACCTAAGATGTAATATTTGGTCGGATGCTGTGCACATACTGTGAATTACGTGCGGTAACAGTCCTGAATGCGTTTTTTATAGGCCTACTATGCTGCCAGGCCTTTCTTTGTTTTCTATTCGAGAAGATAGGCCAACCACTTAGCAAAGTTTTGTAGAGCCCAAATATTTGTTTCACCACCTGTAGCGAAGTCGTTAAAAGTGCGTACTACTACCTAGTTCGATCCCTGGTCAAAGCAACAACGCAAAAAATTACAAAAATGTTTTTTTCTACCCACAGAGGTCGCCCCTCGGCAGGCAATGGCTAAAAGCTTTCCATTTCCCGTTCGGAGGCGACATTAAACTCTACGAGCCTCCATTTGTGTCACAACATCAAGACTCACACCACAAATTGGAGGAAAACCTTGGCCACAGACCATAGACTAAATGCGTTCCAAATGGTCTAAAAAATATGGGTTTTATATGCATTTGTATCTATAGTATATGCAAAAAAAAAAAATCAAAAACTTAGCATGCCATCGTACGTGTGTTTACTTAACTGATTTCATATTCCTCTGGGTATTATTAGCTTCTTTCTTGAATTCTCTTATATCGCCTTTCCATAGCTTATATGTTTGTATGTATGTATGTATATAAATAGCGGTGTATGCGGCACCAAGTAGAATTATTATTCAGCAATCGATGTTCTTAAATGGTCATTGAACCAAAATCAATCGAAGTGGTGGCGGGGAACGGTGAGACGAAACGAGTCGCTGAGCAATTGCCAATTAACTATTATACTGGTTGATTTATAACCGTACGGCTGGGCAGATTAACTGCTTTGTTTTTACTTTGCATTTATTTTGTGGTTGGACCAGAAACGGACACACCTGTAAATTTGTAATGAACTCTTATTGTAGTTGTATTGGTGAATTTTACGGCAATTGACGCCTCTAACAAAGTTTCTTACCTACCTCTATTTTTTAAATTTTATTTTCTTTTGAGTAATTTGCTTACATTTTTAATTAACAATATCATCGTTTTTTTTCTTAACTCTTCCTCTTTTCTCTATTTATTTACAGTCGCAAAAACTCATTGGTAGTGCGAACACAGCTAAGCGTGCGGGTACATGCCATTATTGGTAAGTAAAACTACCTGGAATTGTTGTGTAGGTATGCCTAGTAAATAGTATATTTAAGTCACAGAAAATTGTAAAAAAAAAAACGCAAACACGAAAACAAAAAACAATTCAGCGAAATAGCGGCGGTCGTTTGCAGAAATTCCCACACTCATTCATTAAATACTTCCAACTGTTTATTTGTTGTTGTGTTGTTAATGCAAAACAATAAACATTTCCAGCTATTAACTGCCGGTGAGCTGGCAGCCATCAGCCATGGCCCCCGACAACAACCACCACTCAGGCGGCAGTCAAGGCATCACATTCACAAATCAATTCATTCGTCCGACAATTTAGTCATAGTAATTGGCAGTCAGACAGACATATGGACACACATACATACATACATGAATTCCATGTATCCATGCTTTCTGGTGGGCTAACATTTGTTTTGGCTTTGATCGGCAATAATCATCTCGGCCACCTTCTCGCCATATAAACAATGTTAATCTGTCAACATGACACTTGTATTTGGCCTTGATTTGTTTCGGTCATAAATAGATGCAAACATATGCAGATACTTATATATGTACATATGTATATACTAGAGATACACTAGTTATAAATAGATTACGTCTATGTAAGTATATCCGTAATGCCTATGAATACGGTTTGTTCTTTCGAAAACACCGTAATCTTATTAAAAGAGCGGCGTGCTGCGCTTAACAACGGGCCACCGAGTGAATTTCCGGCCAACTGGAATGAAAATTGAATGGAAAATAAAATAAGCGCAAAGAATTTGATGAGCTAAGACGCGTTATTTATTTATTGAATAACAGTAAAGAAATTGTCTGCTAACAATGAATTGCAAACCAGCATCTGTTGAAAATTTCCTCAGAATTTCTACTGAAAGTAGGGTGGTTCAAAGACAAGTTTTGCCTTTTCATTATAAGTCGATGTTCGGACACGGAAACTTTTGTTGCGGCAACTCGAAGCTTGTAGGGGAGAGAGCGTCGAGGAAAGGGGACATTCAAGAAGTCAGATTTACGGAAGTTATCATAAAGCCCTTGGCAGCCTCAAAGATACAGCGCGTAAGAGCGAAAGAGAGCACTCAGTTCATAAACATCTCAGACTAGTTAGTTTGAATTAATACCTCGTGATCATGTCTCTACGAAAAAGAATGGTCCATTCCCAAACGGCGTGTTGCATGCCTTCACTTTCTGCATATTTGCATGTTTCGATTGGCCTTATATATATACTCCCCGTGCCAAAATTAAAATCGCACCACAAATAGAAAAATTTTAACAATTTATTTATTTTTTTTTAGTTTGTAATAGATGATACAAAATAGGGCTATTCGCGATCCGGTGCAAATGGCCTAGCATCATTGCATTGCAAATTTGTATTGCAAATTATTTACAATACACAAACAAAATACACGCATTTGCATTTGTCATGGCTTGACAAATTCGCAATACCGAAAATCCATAGCATGAAAGTGCTATGCATTGCAACTCTGGTTGACATTTCTATCAACTGATTAAAAAAGTTTTACCATGATAGTTTAATAAAGGTCGCTCACAATCCATGGCATATTTCTGCAATTGTATAAATTTGTCAGCTCTTATGCACCGAATCGCGAATAGCCCTAATGTGTATTTTTCAGTACGTGCAAAGTTTGTACATACATTTACACCCTGTGACAAAATTATAAGCGCACCTTAAGTTGTAACGATTTCTTTTTTTGTTTCTTTCCTTCGGTCATTTCTTATAATACGTAAGTTTTAAGCAAAAAAAAATAACCGACTTGAATTCTCATATAAAAATTTAGGAGTACCTTTAAATTATCGAAATCGATTGACGTGGTCCAGAGTTATGCGGTAATATATTAAAAAACATATTTCGTCGAATTGATAACCTCCGACTTTTTTGATGTCGATTAAGAATAAAGTTTAATTTTCAAATGAAACCGTGTAGGCCTAAATTTGAAACTCTGCGCATTATTTTAAAAATTAAAAAAGTTTTCGTAAAAATTTGTAGTTTTTTAATTAGATTTCTTAGAAAGATTTTGAATACGCAAGTTTAAAGTAGGTAGGACTTACCGTTGGTTTTTGCCAAGTTTATTTATATTTTTATATATATGTATGTTTGTACTTTGTATGGAAAAAAATGTACAACACCGACAGGAAAAAAATTGCCAAAACAACGTTATGTCCCAGCTACTTCAAACTTGCACTTTATTGTATTAAAAAATAAAGTAATCTAATTTAAAAGCTAGGAATTTTAAAGAAAGGTTGTTAAATTGTTTTAAATATTGGGCACAGTTTGAAATTTGGGCTTATACGGATTTAGTTAAAGATTAAGCTATATTTTTTTATTAAAAATAACCGAATTTACTTAAAAAAAAAAAAACAATAAAATAAATTGTTATAACTTGTGAACTTGAGGTGCATGTATAATTTTGACACTGGGTGTATATTAGGGCCGCTCAATTTGTATGGGAGATTTTTTCGGCTATGCGCGTATAGCACGTTTAATTATAAGCAAATCTTCCGGATAAACCATGGGTCTAAAATCAATTTGGAGTTTGCCAAATTGGGAAAATGGCTTTCTTAGCTTTTTGCTGTAGTGTCGTAAAGAACTGCTTAAATTTTGTATAAAATATGCTATAAGTAGTATTTTTGTATGAGGTATCCATATATGCACTTATCTTTTTCTTAAAACTTCATACAGAGGGCACAACAGTGTAAATTTTCCCATTTTCTTCGAAACCTATTTTCGCAATTTGGCGAACTTCAAATTGATTTTAGACCGATGGTTTCTTCGGAAAATTTGCTTAGAAATACACGTAGAATCCTTCTATTCTATACGAGCATAGTCAAAAAAATTTACCCTCCCTAGTGTACATACATATCGTTACCTTAATTCACAAAGGCCGTAACCAACACCAACCAATTTTAAAGTTTGAGTACCAAAAAAAAAACGGAGTTGCATGCTACTTTTTAAAAAGTCGTACCTGTTTTTGATAGTCTATTTAAAATGTGTTTTGCCTCTCCTGTAAAATAAAAACATTTTTTTCATTAGGGTCTTTGTGAATTAAGATAACGATATGTATGTGTAAACTTTGCACCTAATGAAAAATTCAAATTTGGTACCATCTACACTTTTGCTTTCGTTGAGGTAGCTCCAAAGCGTGATCGCGCAATTTTTATTACCTTTTTTCTTGATTTATGGGAGTAAAAATGATATAGTGGGAGGCAAATCAAGTCTGTAAGGTGAATGGCTCACCAGATCGATGTCTTCGCTGTCTAAGACTTAAAGAGATATTTAAGCGAGTGTGTTAGAAACTCCATTTCCATTGTGATGAATGATCTTAGACTTTTGGCAATGAAATGGCTTGGCGCTGTTAAGAACCACTTTCCGACGTTTCTGGAATGCTACAATTTCTTCGAGGCCAAAAGATCCAAAAGGCCAAAGATCGATTGCTTTTTCCGAACTCATATAATGCACAAATGCATTTTTCTTCCATATTTTTTTTTTTTTTTGGAAAGTGTCTCAGCCAAACACTTGGCAAAAATGTGATCGCCAGAGCTTACTATCTCCATAAATAACACAAGCTCTTAAATTGGACATACAAATATGTATCTAATCGCCAAAAAAATCTAAAATTTTAGTACGCTATGCCGCTTAAAAAAACAACTTTTTTAATTAATTTAATGCATATGCCATTTTTATTTTTCCTTCCTTTCTTTCACA